CGGGGGAGGCTCCGTGGCAGGCGGCGCGGGCGGCCGTGCAGGGGCAGCTCCCGGCCCGCTCGCCGGGGGTCCCAGGGCTTTCCCGGCGCCGCCTCCCTCCGCGTCGGGCGACAGAGGAGTAACGCGCGGAGCTAGTAGCTGGGGTCGCGGTGGAGCCGATCGGGGTGTCCGATGCCCCGTCCCCTGCCCCCGGGCGCCCGCGATTGTCGGGCGTCGCCGTCAGGCTCTTCCCAGGAGGCCGCGCGTGTGACCGGATCGTTCGTGTCTCCGCAGCACGTTTCTTGGAGTATGATAAGTTTGAGTGCCATTTCTCCAACGGCACGAAGCGGGTGCGATACCTACACAGAAACTTCTATAACCGGGAGGAGCTCGTGCGCTTCGACAGCGACGTGGGGGAGTACCGCGCGGTGACCGAGCTGGGGCGGCCGGACGCCCAGTACTGGAACGGGCAGAAGGACGTCCTGGAGCAGAGGCGGGCCGCGGTGAACAGGTTCTGCAGACACAACTACGGGGTTGGCGAGAGCTTCACGGTGCAGCGACGAGGTGAGCGCGGCGGGGCGGCCGGGGCGGGCGTGTGACCGAGTGACACGCGGGCCTGGGTGAGCCTGCGATTGTGACAGCACGAGTTGTGACGTGCGTGTGAGTGCGTCGGGGACAGCGCGTGTTTAAGAGCAGCGTGTGTCGTGAGAGCGTGGACAGTGTGAGTGTGGTCGGGGGCGCCCGCGAGGCCAGGGTGGGCCAGAGAAGCTGCGTTCGGGGCGCGCAGGAGACAGTGTCCGGGGTGGGTGCGGGGGCTGGAGATGCAGGGAACGGTGAGTGGGGCGGGACATCGCCCATGTGGGGAGGCGAAATTTAGGGCGTCTGTGGTTGGGGTGAAGGGTCGGGGCGGAGAGGTGAGGGATGGGAGAGGTCTGGGATACTGTGAGGAGGCCTGGCACACACTGGCCTTGGCACACACCTTCTTAGTCCTGAGCCCCTGAACTAGGTGTGCTGTGTTTGCATAAGCATTTCATTGAGAGAAAAGCGTCAGACTAATTTGGAGGAAGGGGTTGGGGGGAAGTGACCTCCTCCGAGGCACCTCTGACCTTTCTGAGCCTTCTTTTAATTTTAAATTTCCTGCTCTTTTTTTCTTAGCGTATGCATTTTTACTTGTTGAAATGAATGTGAAACTAGCTTCTCGAGTTACAGTTTTGTTACTTGAAGTAATGCTGATAGCATTTAAGTAGTTACGTATTATTCCTTTGAATACTTGTAACACAATCTACCTCACACTCTCCTTTGCTGGATCTTAA